GAAAGAATAATCATTCCTATATTAAAACTTATCCAAACCTTTACTAGCTAACTACCGATATCGACTTTGCGCTTTTCTATGTACTTCCAAGTCCTCCATGATCGCCAGGCCATCGTCACCCTGCCTGCCACACCCCCTCCATGCCTGTACAATAAATTTCCTTCTTTTCGAATTTACACACTTTACTTTTACGCAGGAAAACAATCGCATCGAGTAGACAAGTTATCGGAAGCACCAGTGCACAACTGTGTTTTTTTTACCCGACAAACCTCAGGTACTTTTGTAGCTTCAAAAAATTTGCATTTGATACGACTCAAATCACTTATCTTTTTGCAATTCGATCTTTGACGCTTTCGATTGATTATGTTCGTTTTTTGCAGACCTGTAATGGCTTCAGTTGTAGATGATTCTATTAAAGCTCGAGGTGATCATTTTTTTTTTTTTTTTGGGAAATTGACTATTCATGAATTAGTTCCCTCATAAGGTTGAAAATTGCTTCATATTAGGGTCCTCTTCTAAAAATCGTCTTACTGTATTTCGTAGTCTGTTTTATTTTGCTTTCTGCAAGTTACGGATAAACCCAAACTGTAGTTTGCAGTAACTCTGCTCTTTGTTCTCCATTACATAAGTTTCTATCGTTGAAATTGATGAAAGCGAATAAATTACCCCTCAGATGTGTGCATTGTTGGTGTTGCAAGAACACCAATGGGAAGCTTCCTTGGTTCCCTATCATCTTTGCCTGCCACGAAGCTTGGCTCTATAGCAATTGCATGTAAGAGCAATTTTGATTGCATATTGTGTTACGAGTACATGTCGGCCAGAGTATGTTCTGTCCTTTCTAATTCATTTGCATTATGTTTGAAGCTGCTCTTAAGAGGGCGGGTGTACATCCATCTCTGGTGCAAGAAGTCTTTTTCGGCAATGTTCTTAGTGCGAATTTAGGCCAAGCCCCTGCTAGGCAAGCTGCACTAGGTGCGGGTATACCTCATAGTGTGGTCTGCACCACAATTAACAAAGTATGTTCATCTGGGATGAAAGGTTGGTTGGTGTAAATGTATTTCACAGTTATTTATGTATTTGAAAGAACTTGCAGTGATGCATTTCTGTCTATGCAGCCACAATGATTGCTGCCCAAACAATAAAATTAGGTGATAACGATGTAGTGGTGGTTGGTGGAATGGAAAGCATGTCCAATGCTCCAAAATATATCCCGACAGGAAGGTTGGCATTATGGTTATTTTTTGCTTTTTAACTAGTTAGTTCCCTTCTGGTTGCTAACATGATATTTGTTTAGTTAATGTTTATTTATTGAAAAAATGTTCATGTCTTTCTATTTAATAAGTCACCAGTGAAAAACCTTGATCTCCATTGTTACCGGCATGCCTTCTTTAACAGGACAGGGTCTCGATTAGGACATGATACTATTGTTGATGGCATGCTGAAAGATGGGCTTTGGGATGTGTATAATGATTTTGGAATGGGTGTTTGTGCTGAATTATGTGCTGATCAACACAACATATCTAGAGAAGAACAGGTAATGTCTCACAGTGCTGAGTTATCTTTCTTTCTTTTTCCTTTTCTTTTCTGTCCTTTTCTTCTTCTAGGAACGATCAGAACTGGCGGAGTAATGTTTATAATATTGCCATCCAAGCGTTCTGTGGTTTTTACAGATTACAAGCAACGATATGCACAAATCCTTTGTTTTTTTTTTTTTTTCACTNTCATTCCCAGTTCCCACTGTATCTCCTTTCGTCTTAATCCACATGTGCACAATTCGTGTAGAGTCCCTTTTATGTACTCTATTATTGCAGGGTAGTATAAAAACCATGGTGGTTTTGTTTATTTTTTCAGAATAGATATTTGTTTGAGAGTATTTCTTATTACTGTGCGAAGTACATTTTACTTGTTTTATGTTCAAGAACCTTGATATGACACTTTGACAGCCTTAATTATTACTATAATTGTTTCTACAGTTGTACTTTAATTTTCTCTTGATGTGGATATAGTAATGTCATTTGAATCCACTTGTACATTCTACTAAACTTTAAACAGACAGTTTCAACTGACAAATTTCCAATTATCTTAACTTGTCTTTCAATACATCACTGGTTACTCATTAACACATGCAAACCCTTTCTTTGTTTTCTTGGACGCAATATATCGGTTGTGTACAAAGAATATAATCACATATAACCGCAGATCTTCACCTGTGCCTGTCTCTTTTATGCATTGGCTGTAATAGTTATTAGTTTTGAATTTTCTTAATTTTTATGTCCTTCATAAAAATGTTTAGTATTTTCAACTTGTTTTTATGTGTAAATTTCTAGGATGCTTATGCTATTCAAAGTTTTGAACGGGGTCTTGCTGCAGAATCCAGCGGTGCATTCTCATGGGAGATAGTTCCGGTGATTGCCGTTCAATTTTTTTTTTTTTTCTCCTTTTTGTTTTTGAAAGAATAAGTAACTGTCTTTGTTTTCTTAGAATGACGGATTATGTTTATACCTTCAGGTCGAAATATCTGGTGGCAGGGGGAAGCAATCTACCTTCATTAACAAAGATGATAGTTTGGCAAAGGTGAATCAAATAAGATGGTTCTCAATGAGTTCTTCTTTTGGATAATTGAAACATGGACATCTCAAGTTTCGTGCTTTTCTGCGTCTTCGGCCTCTTGGCTACAGAGTACGAAGATTTTGGTATTATAAATTCCTGTCCTGTCTCATAACACTTATATTGTACTTGTTGTTTCTAGTTTGACGCATCAAAGTTAAGAAAGCTCAGGCCAAGTTTCAAGGAAAATGGAGGTTCTGTAACTGCAGGGAATGCTTCTAGTATAAGGTTCAGTGAATTCACTTATTATTTGTTTCTATTTGTAATTATAATTCACACACACACCACACACACACACACACACACGTGTGTGTGTGTGTGTGTGTGTGTGTTCTGGGCACGACATTTAACAGACTACTCATTGAGGATATAGATTAAGTTGACTTGTTACATTGTTTTGATTCCCCACTTTCTTACATTAGTGTGACTGGTTGAATGAGTTCTTTCCAGATATGACTGGCCCCACTTATTTGACAGAATAGACTATCAACAACTGAAATGGGAATTATTCGACTAAGAGTTCTTATTGTGTGTAGTGATGGGGCTGCTGCTTTAGTTCTCGTTAGTGGAGCTATGGCTATTAAGCTTGGATTGAATGTTATTGCCAGGATCAAAGGCTATGCAGACGCAGCACAGGTGGCATGCTAATTTTTAATTTCATTTACTATACATTTTCTGTTGCGTATATACTAACCTCGGCTGGGTTACGGGTATCCCCAACCTATTTAGAATCAACTATTGTTTGTTCTATTCTACGTAAGTTTTGCCTGCATTTTGAGAGATTAGTGTTACGGATCCTATTAAATCATTTGTTTGGCAGGCACCTGAACTGTTTACAACTGCTCCAGCCATCGCCATACCAAAGGCAATCGCTAATGCTGGCTTGAAAGCATCCGATATTGATTTCTATGAAATAAATGAAGCTTTCTCTGTGAGAATCTATACTCTGAATTCTCTTTGAACAGTTAAATGGTAATCTTTCTAATATCAACTTTTACAGGTTGTAGCTCTTGCTAACCAGAGGCTGCTTAATATTGACCCCGTAAGTTTTGCTGTTTGCTGCCCCCATCTCATTTGATCTATCAGATCAATTAAACTGGTTTTTCACTTTTTTGTGCCCATTTTTAACTTGAAGATCTTTTTGATCTTATTACTCTAGAAAAGGTTAAATGCACATGGTGGTGCCGTGTCCCTAGGACATCCTCTGGGCTGTAGTGGGGCTCGCATCTTGGTGACACTATTAGGAGTGAGCACTTAGCTTTTCTAAATTTCTGCCACATCCTTTATTCTCACGTGAAGTGTATTCTTTTTTGTTCTCTTATGCCTAATTGGATATTTTAGGTGCTAAGACACAACAATGGGAAGTTTGGTGTTGCTGGGATATGCAATGGTGGAGGAGGTGCATCTTCTCTTGTTCTGGAGCTCATTAACAATCGGTGAGATTCACCAGTTCCCCAAAATCTAATGGAAAAAAGGAACGTTTTTTTACATATGTTTTATATATTTGTTGACTAATTGTTTCTAATGCCCCTAATGGTCAGAAGGCATTCTTGTCACCCTCTTATTATTTTTTTTTTCTTCTCTTTTTGCTTTTGTTTGTGTACGAACGAGTGAACGTGTTCCATTGAGATAAGGCCTTATGTTTTGTGCGCTGACATGCAGGCCTGTGGGGAGGGTGGCACGTTCAATGCTATGAGGTCGTTCGTGTTGTACTGTTAATATAAAGTTGTCCGTCCAGTAACGTATGCTGATTTTTAATCCGCTTTTGCTCGTTCACGTTATCTCAAATCTCTGGAGAGCCGTTTTCCCTTGTGATAGAGTTTTTTGGTGCTGGAATGTACTGTATGTCCTTTTGTTGTGATGAGTCTTTTTGTGACGAAATGTACTGTAAACGTATCTGCATTTTGCCCCTTTTATCTTTGTTGTGATAAAGAGTTTTTTGTGATGAAATGTACTGTAAACATATCTATATTTTGCTCCTTTTGTCTTTGTGAGGGAACCCGACACACGCGCCCTCCTTTCAGTAGCGATTTCTCCTTATTTCTTCTTCCTTTGTACTTTTCTCTTAGTTAGATTAATTAAAAAAATAATAATAGTGGCGTGGATGTCTCATTGCTGTGGAGATCCCATAATTGCATTAAGTGAAATCATTAAAATTGGTTAAATTCCCATTTAGCGTGACGAAACATAACTACACCTTATGCCACATACTTCTTATTAACGGTGGTTAGTTTTTTGACATTTCAAATATACACGCATCAAATATCAAATAAGATAGACATCCAATTTTGAAGGAGGCCTAAGGATACAATTTTGAAGGAGGCTTAAGGATATCAAACGGGAATACTCGAGCATAAAAATAACATTCACAATGAAAAGCTTCTTAGTACGTTACTGGCGACCATAATCACTGTATATTAGAAAAAAAATAATTCATTACCACAAACTATAAGATCATCTTAAAACGTTAATAGACAAACGTGACAAGGAAAAGATCACAAATTCTTGATCAAATAAAGTACTCTTTAGATGAAATTTAACCTCCAAGACGAGTCTGCAAAATATCATGCTTTGTTATTATCTTAAAGTAAGCTATATCATTTATACCTTACTTTTATGAGAAACCTAAACACATATCTTCAATCCAGAATACCAAATGCTCAAGAGATGACATAAAGAAATCTTAACCAAAGAGATGAAAAAGAAATCTTAACCAAAAACAAAAGGATGAGTGAGAGGCTGAGGCAGGCTATAACCCACAAGACTCCATGCCAACTCTGATGATAGGGCTGCAAATGCGCTCAAGCTCCCACATCTTATGGTTCAACTCGTCAACCCCAGCCCGCATCCAATTCCCCTCCACCCACATAATAACCCACGTGGCCTCCTCCTCCACCCTTCTCCTGTCGGCCATCGCCAGCCAGAGGGCAGCCCTGGCCGCGCTCCTCACGCCGTAGGCATAATTCTCGAGCTTGTTTCTAGCTTCGGCCCTCCTCTTGTACTCCTCGTCCTCCCGCCTGTACCTCTCTGCATCCCTCACTATTCTCTCAATCTCCTCTCTCGACGCCTTACCTCCTTCGTTGGTTATAGTGATCCCGTTTGCGCTCCCCTTGGACCTCTCCTTAGCCGACACGCTCAGTAACCCGTCGACATCGATTTCAAACCACACGTCAATGCTTGGCACTGCCCGAGGGGCCCGTGGGACTCCCTCCAGTGTGAACTGCCCGAGCAGGTTGTTCTCCGTCGACTTCGCCCGCTCCCCCTCGTAGACCTTGAAATCCACACAAGTCTGGTTGTCATAAATCGTCGTGAACCATTTCTCCTTCCGAGTAGGGATTGGTGTGTTGCGAGGGACCACAACATCCATCACTTCCCCTTTTACCTCAATACCGAGGGAGAGCGGGGTCACGTCGCAAAGGACGAGGTCCCGAACCTTGTTGTCCCTCACGCCAGTGAGGACGGCCGCTTGCACGGCGGCCCCGTAGGCAACGGCCTCGTCCGGGTTGATGCTCCTACAGAGCTCCTTCCCGCTGAAAAAACTCTGCAGCAGACTCTGAACCCTGGGGATCCTAGTCGAGCCTCCGACCAGGACTACGTCGTGGACGGCGGCCTTGTCCATCCCGGCACTCCTGAGGCAGCTCTCGACTGGCTCGATGCACTTTTGGAAAAGGTCAATGTTGAGATCCTCGAATTTCGCACGGGTGATGGTCGAGTGGAAATCGATGCCCTCGTGCAGGAACTCGACGTCCACAGTGGCGTGAGTGTTGGTGGAGAGAATCCTCTTCGCCCGCTCGCCGGCGGTCCTCAGCCTCCGCAGGGCTCGGGGGTTTCCCGAAATATCCATCTTGTGCTTGCGCTTGAACTCGGCCGCAAAGTGGGCGACTATTCGGTTGTCGAAATCCTCTCCTCCGAGGTGGGTGTCGCCCGCGGTGGCCTTCACGACGAAGGAGCCGTCGTTGATGGTGAGGAGGGAGACGTCGAAGGTGCCGCCACCGAGGTCGAAGACGAGCACGTTTTTCGAACCTCCCCAGGCAGTATTTGCCCTTTGGTTGAGGCCGTAGGCAATGGCGGCGGCCGTGGGCTCGTTGATGATGCGGATGACGTTGAGGCCGGCGATCGCGCCGGCGTCTTTGGTGGCCTGGCGCTGGGAGTCGCTGAAGAAGGCGGGGACGGTGATGACGACATCCCGAGAAGGGGTGGGGCCCAGGAATGAGTTGGCGATGTCGGCCATCTTGGTGAGGACCATGGAAGATATCTCCTCAGGGGGTAACTGCTTCTCTTGGCCCTTGTAGGAGACCACAATCATGGGTTTGTTGGTCGCCCCAGAGACCACCTTAAACGGCCACAGCTTCATGTCTGTTTGGACAGAGGTGTCGCTGTATCGTCTCCCGATCAGCCGCTTCGCATCTGCCTCATAATAATTCAACACCACATCGAAATTTGACATAATTCAAGTTGTTATGATTCAGACATGTGTAAGTGTAATGCTATTGTTACCACTTGAATAAACTATTTAACGCTAACCCGGGTTATTTCGAATTACAACCGTAGAAAAGAAAATAAGAAAGCAGCTGTTTACCAAAGACGGTGTTGACGGAGTTGACGCCAGCCTGATTCTTGGCGGCTTCGCCTATGAGACGCTCGGTGTCCGTGAAAGCGACGTAAGAAGGCGTGGTGCGATTGCCTTGATCATTGGCTATGATCTCAACGTGGTCGTGCTGCCACACTCCCACGCATGAATACGTGGTTCCCAAGTCGATCCCGATTGCAGGTCCTTTTGCAGCCAATCGTGGCACAACAATACCAAAAGACTTGGAATCATCGGGAGCCAATCGTGGCACGAGAACATCAAAAGGCTTGGAATCTTTGGGTGAAGTGCTCCGGGTTCCACGCTTGAAGGAGCGACCAGATGAGGAATTAGCATCCTTACGCTTTTTTGAAGTTTTGCCACCCGCCATGGATGTTGAAGCAGATGAAAAATAGGGGATGGCTAGCATGTGGCAGTATATAATGGAGTTAGAATCAAGGGTTTACAAATGGACTGGGCTAGTAAAAAATATTAAATGGGCCAAGTCTAATAGGCTACACTATCAGTTAATCAATATATTAAAGAGGAAATTGCACCCCCTACTTCATCCTCCTTAATATTTTATAAATTTACATCTCGTAATTAATTATTTATGTAATTACTATACTAAGAATAAAAATTTGCTAATATACCTAAAGTTTTAATTTTTGCAGTTATCAGATAATTAAAGATAATGGACGTACATTACGGGCAAATTAAATCCTCAAAAGAAAACTGCTCCACACTTCTCTCACGCGATCCTCGGAAAAAACGAAATCTCATTCAGAAGGAAAAAAAAAATTCCTCCGTCAATGGCGAAAACCAAAATCACACGAGATCCTGGTAAAAAAACGGTGAAAGAAGGCGACGAAACACCACAGATAAGGTCAAGTTCCCGGCTTCGGAAGAACATTTCAAAATCAAAGCCCAAACTCATTCAGAAGAAGTTAGTTTTTTGAGAAAAAAACGAACCCCAACCCTAATCGCAAGCCAGCCGGCAACGCAAGGATGAAGAAGCAAGTTCCATCCCCTGATTCAGATGATTTCCAATCCGAACACGGCCGTAAAAATCCGAAACACATGCGGCGGGACCCTAAATCCAAAATCCCCAATTCCACTGAGAAGGGTAACTCATCTGACACCGATTTCAAAGATGAAATTCAACCCGAAGACGTCGATAGCAAAGATAATTTCAGCGAAGAGGAATCCCCGGTGGAAATTTTCAACAAAAGAATCAAAAAAAGGCTTCAAAAAGAGAAACCTGAAGTTAATTTGAATAAGAAACGGAGAAAACCGAACACCGACCCTCAACATGTTCAAAAACAGATAGTGTATAAGGTAAAATTTTGTGTACATTGCATTTTTTTAATTTTTATTATTTTTTTAAACGTGAAACATCATTGTTGTTTATTGATTATGAATTGGTTCATTTTGTCGGTTAATTGGTGTATGTGAACGAATAATTTGTCATGGTCCTCACACTTTTATGTTTGACTAATATTGTTCTTTACTCCTAGGTTGTTGATATCTCTGTTTGGTTGACTAATATTGTTCTTTAGTCCTATATTGTCCCTTAGTGTGCTGCTCCTTTTATATCTCAAAAACTGAGTATATATTTGGTATATGTCTGTGTATATATTTGGTATATGTCTGTGTTTTATTTCTCATTTTTATACCTCAGATTATATGTCAAGTATATGCAATTGTTTTTTACAAGTATGTGCTATATCTGGTATATTTATGTTTAGAATGTTTGTTGAGAATGAATGTTGAGAATTTCACAGGACATGTAAAACTAATAAGCATTCAAAACTGATTATATGTCAAGTATATGCAATTGTTTTTTACAAGTATGTGCTATATTTGGTATATGTATGTTGAGAATGAATGTAATGAATATTACACATATTGTAGATATTACAAAACATTGATATTACTGATGGACATAGAGTATTTGAATTTATTGTTTGGTATATCAGTTGTATATTTTGGTATATTTACTATGTCCCCTTTCCCTGTTCCATATATATTGTACATATTGTAGATATACCCTCCTCGACACACTTACTGCTGATGTCCAGGACCTGAAGGAAGCCTTCCACGACTTCTCGAGAAGGGTTTTTGCTGAATTTGCTTTGTTCAAAGAGAAATTCTTAGTAAGTCATTGTTCATTTTTTTTTTTAATACTTATGTGATACATATATATTATATATGTGGTCATATACACCATTTTTTATTGCTTCTATGAATTGGCATACACTGTGTACATAGTATATGTTCAGATTATGTGTGTTCATATATACCACATCTATAAACAGAACAAAGGTTCTATATTTATTTATGATTGAATGTGGTCAAATATGCCAATTTTTATTGCTTCTTATAGTATATGTACAGATTATATTGCGTCATATATGTGGCCATATATGCAACATATATTGCTTCTAAATTGATTTGAACAGATGGATGTATTATACTTGAACAAATATATGTGGGGAAAACATTGATTTTTACTGATGGACTGATAGTTGTTGATTTAAATGTTTGGTATATTAAAAATATATGCTGATATATTTTTCTAAATCCACTGTAACTGTTTTCCAGTATATTATGTTATATTTTAAGTATTTCTATATCTCTGTTTTGAATGGATTTCTTTCAGACTGTAACATGTTTGGTATATTATGGTATATTTTAAGTATTTCTAAATCCAATGTCTGTCCACTGTAGCATGTTTGGTATATTATGGTTTATTTTAAGTATCTCTGGTTTCCAGTATAATATGGTATATTTTAAGTATTTCTAAATCCACTGTAACATGTTTGGTATATTAAATTTATTTTTATAACAAATTAAAATTAGATTTATATTCAATCTGTATATTCTGGTATAATTTAAATATTTTTATATTAGGTTCTCATATAGCACGAGGCATACGTACTATATATAAACATGAGAGATGTTCCTCTATTTTTCAGTATATATTTAAACTGATCATATGTTCCTTTATACTATCATTCCAATATGTATCGTCATCTCATCACATTGACATTACAACTTAGGGTGTTTCAAGTGAAGACCAACATGTCGACAAAGGGAAGACGACTGAAGATCTTGTTGGAAGTGAAATGCCAGATGATAGTGCACACAAATCAGCTGGAAAACAGACGGTTTTTTATCTTTAATTATATATTTGATTATGAACAATTATATTAACATTTATATTAAACTTTGCATATAAAACTTTTGTACTGTTTTAAATTTTTAAGTCCACTGCCCCTGTTCCATATGAATTATGGTATATTTTGAGTATTTTTATAGTAGGTTCTCACATAATATGGAATCATATACACCATATATATAAATATCAGATATGTTCCTTTATTTTTCAGTATATATTTAAACTGATTAGATGTTCATTTATACTATATCTAAACAGATGGATGTCTTATATTTGAAGGAATATATGTGGGGAAAACATTGATATTACTGATGGACATAGAGTATTTGAATTTATTGTTTTGGTATATCAGTTGTATATTTTTGGTATATTTACTATGTTCCCTTTCCCTGTTCCATATCTATGTTAAGTCCCCTGACTCTGTCCCATATATTTGTTAAGTCTACTGCCCCTGTTCCATAGATATTCTGTTATATTTTAAGTATTTCTCCTTATTTCTTCTTCCTTTGTACTTTTCTCTTAGTTAGATTAATTAAAAAAATAATAATAGTGGCGTGGATGTCTCATTGCTGTGAAGATCCCATAAATTGCATTAAGTGAAATCATTAAAATTGGTTAAATTCCCATTTAGCGTGACGAAACATAACTACACCTTATACCACATACTTCTTATTAACGGTGGTTAGTTTTTTGACATTTCAAATATCCACACATCAAATATCAAATAAGATAGACATCCAATTTTGAAGGAGGCCTAAGGATACAATTTTGAAGGAGGCTTAAGGATATCAAACGGAATACTCGAGCATAAAAATAACATTCACAATGAAAAGCTTCTTAGTACGTTACTGGCGACCATAATCACTGTATATTAGAAAAAAAATAATTCATTACCACAAACTATAAGATCATCTTAAAACGTTAATAGACAAACGTGACAAGGAAAAGATCACAAATTCTTGATCAAATAAAGTACTCTTTAAATGAAATTTAACCTCCAAAACGAGTCTGCAAAATATCATGCTTTGTTATTATCTTAAAGTAAGCTGTATCATTTATACCTTACTTTTATGAGAAACCTAAACACATATCTTCAATCCAGAATACCAAATGCTCAAGAGATGGCATAAAGAAATCTTAACCAAAAACAAAAGGATGAGTGAGAGGCTGAGGCAGGCTACAACCCACGAGACTCCATGCCAAATTTGATGATAGGGCTGCAAATGCGCTCAAGCTCCCACATCTTATGGTTCAACTCGTCAACCCCAGCCCGCATCCAATTCCCCTCCACCCACATAATAACCCACGTGGCCTCCTCCTCCACCCTTCTCCTGTCGGCCATCGCCAGCCAGACGGCAGCCCTGGCTGCGCTCCTCACGCCGTAGGCATAATTCTCGAGCTTGTTTCTAGCTTCGGCCCTCCTCTTGTACTCCTCGTCCTCCCGCCTGTACCTCTCTGCATCCCTCACTATTCTCTCAATCTCCTCTCTAGACGCCTTACCTCCTTCGTTGGTTATAGTGATCCCGTTTGCGCTCCCCTTGGACCTCTCCTTAGCCGACACGCTCAGTAACCCGTCGACATCGATTTCAAAGCACACGTCAATGCTTGGCACCGCCCGAGGGGCCCGTGGGACTCCCTCCAGTGTGAACTGCCCGAGCAGGTTGTTCTCCGTCGACTTCGCCGGCTCCCCCTCATAGACCTTGAAATCCACACAAGTCTGGTTGTCATAAATCGTCGTGAACCATTTCTCCTTCCGAGTAGGGATTGGTGTGTTGCGAGGGACCACAATCACTTCCCCTTTTACCTCAATACCGAGGGAGAGCGGGGTCACGTCGCAAAGGACGAGGTCCCGAACCTTGTTGTCCCTCACGCCGGTGAGGACGGCCGCTTGCACGGCGGCCCCGTAGGCAACGGCCTCGTCCGGGTTGATGCTCCTACAGAGCTCCTTCCCGTTGAAAAAACTCTACAGCAGACTCTGAACCCTGGGGATCCTAGTCGAGCCTCCGACCAGGACTACATCGTGGACGGCGGCCTTGTCCATCCCAGCACTCCTGAGGCAGCTCTCGACTGGCTCTATGCACTTTTGGAAAAGGTCAATGTTGAGATCCTCGAATTTCGCACGGGTGATGGTCGAGTGGAAATCGATGCCCTCGTGCAGGAACTCGACGTCCACAGTGGCGTGTGTGTTGGTGGAGAGGATCCTCTTCGCCCGCTCGCCGGCGGTCCTCAGCCTCCACAGGGCTCGGGGGTTTCCCGAAATATCCTTCTTGTGCTTGCGCTTGAACTCGGCCGCAAAGTGGGCGACTATTCGGTTGTCGAAATCCTCCCCTCCGAGGTGGGTGTCGCCTGCGGTGGCCTTCACGACGAAGGAGCCATCGTTGATGGTGAGGAGGGAGACGTCGAAGGTGCCGCCGCCAAGGTCGAAGACGAGCACGTTTTTCGAACCTCCCCAGGAAGCATTTGCCCGTTGGTTGAGGCCGTAGGCAATGGCGGCGGCTGTGGGCTCGTTGATGATGCGGATGACGTTGAGGCCGGCGATCGCGCAGGCGTCTTTGGTGGCCTGACGCTGGGAATCGCTGAAGAAGGCCGGGACGGTGATGACGACGTCCCGAGAAGGGGTGGGGCCCAGGAAGGAGTTGGCGATGTCGGCCATCTTGGTGAGGACCATGGAAGATATCTCCTCAGGGGGTAACTGCTTCTCCTGGCCCTTGTGGGAGACCACAATCATGGGCTTGTTGGTGGGCCCAGGGACAACCTTGAACGGCCACAGCTTCATGTCTTTCTGGACCGAGGTGTCGCTGTATCGTCTCCCGATCAGCCGCTTCGCATCTGCGTCGTCATAATTCAACACGACATTAAAAAATTAAACATAGTTACACTTGAATAAACTATTTAACGCTAACCCAGGTTATTATTCGATCGAATTTCAAACATATAAAAGAAAATAAGAAGCAGCTGTTTACCAAAGACGGTGTTGACGGAGTTGACGCCAGCCTTGTTCTTGGCGGCTTCGCCTATGAGACGCTCGGAGTCGGTGAAAGCGACGTAAGAAGGCTTGGTGCGATTGCCTTGATCGTTGGCTATGATCTCAACGTGGTCGTGCTGCCACACGCCCACGCATGAATACGTGGTACCCAAGTCGATCCCGATTGCAGGTCCTTTTGCAGCCAATCGTGGCACAACAATATCAAGAGACTTGGAATCATCGGGAGCCAATCGTGGCACAAGAATACCAGAAGACTTGGAATCCATCGGGTAAAGTGCTCCAGTTTCGGCGCTTGGAGGAGAGACGAGATGAGGAATTCGCAGCCTTACGCTTTTTTGAAGTTTTGCCACCCGCCATGGATGAATTGAGGCGAATGAAAAATAGGGGCCGGATGGCTAGCGTGTGGCAGTATATAATGGAGTTAGAATCAAGGGTTTATAAATGGATTAGACTAGTACAAAATATTAAATGGGCCAAGTCTAATAGGGGTGTTTAATTAAGGGAAATTTTTACACATACTACATCAAATAAAAGAATTTTCAATTTTACCTTCCTAGAACAATTAATAGGATATATACCTAATCAAGCTATTTTATTTACGTGATTGACTAAATATCAGTTACCTTTTGTAACGTCCTCTATCCATATCAGTTATCCTTTGGTGGCGTGATTTACTCATTTAATTCCTTAATTCCCGCAACTTGAATTCTTTAATTCACGCAGCTCCCAGGTGGTATATATTGAGTTTATGTTAGTATATATTCAGTATATGTGCACAACTGGAATTCCTTAATTCAAGTAGCTTTCAGGTGGTATATATTGAGTTTATGTTAGTATATATTCAGTATATGTGCGCAACTGAAATTTCTTAATTCACGCGGCTGGTATATATTGCGTTTATGTTAGTATATATTCAGTATATGTTGCAATGAAAAAAATGTCTTCCATTAAACATTGTTTCTTCCTCTTTTTTTCTTTTATACATAAAAGTATATATATATAGTTTAAAAACATATTATAACAGATTACTTAATATAAAACCATACATATACACAATACCAACAAAAAATTTCAGTTTATGCTATTTTTAAATAGATTTTATACATAAAAATTAGGTCTGGTGATAAATTTATTTATCATATACCGAAAATATACTAAGTATAAACCATACATATACAAAAAAACAAATCATCAGTTTATGTTTTGTCAATATAAACCATACATACATATAAAGTAGCCCTTATGTTATACACAACATATACCCTATATATACACAACATATACCCGATTAATTCATGGCCCCCACCCAAATCCGAGCTCTCCCTCCCCGCCCTAAGATCCGAATTCTCCTCCTCCCGATCCAACAACCCCTCAGATGACCCCTGATTTTTTAAAAGAAAAAAAAAATCACCTCTTCTTCAGCCAATATATCATCAATATCATAATAATTAGCCATGATTTGTATCGGCCTTTCATTAGTATCGGCCTCCGCAATATTTTTTGAATTGAGCAACAAATTACTACTGAAATCCTATGAGAAAAAAATCCAATTTTGTGCCTGTTCTTTCGGGGGGTTTGGGTTGCTGATGGAAAACGATGAGGGGCGAGTTTTGATCTCTGCAGAGACGACGAGAATCAGTGGATAAATTGGTGGCTAGGGTTTGCCGCCCTCTACTGAAGTTCGCCGTGCGATGAACGTCGAAGGTGATGATGGGGTCGTCGTTGGCGGTGGTAGTTTGCGCCTGCAGCGTTGAGTTGGCGATTGGGGAGAAGAATGAGAGAGGATTCTGGACGGAGGAGAAGAATGAGATAAGATTTTGTATATTTACAAATAAATATTAATTAGGTGTAAATATGTAATATAAAATATATTTGATAGTATGGAGTGTAAATTCCTCTTTAATTAATCTAAAAAAGAATTGGATTGGATCATGTTTTTTTTCCCATATTTTAACTAGTGTATTCTTTCTTTTTTAGAGAAAAATACCGCTCCACTTAATTAATCCGTTTTTGCTACATAATTACATCCTTTATATAATTATTTATAAATTAACATAATTTGTCAAATTTATTTGCATATATGTCTATTTTTCATCTTTATAGTATTTTACTAGATAATTGAGGAATTAATGGGACTTTATCATTTACCAAAATATTATCAACATGAATCACAGAAAATCTATCTTGTAATTTATTATAATGGATATCAATGAAATTATTGCAATTAATAAAATTAATTAAGAAAATAATATTTTTTATCATATTTGATTTGATCTTATTTGAAAACGTATATATGGAAGCAATTAATGCATATATTTAAAAAGTTTCCAAAAAAAATGTATGCATTAAATGCTTCCTAAAATTTTAAAACTCTAAATAATACACCTTGTCATAGCTTAACAAAGTTAATTAATTAAACAATTAATTAGATGTCTAACTACAACGGTACAAACACGAAAATCCAGAAATTCTATGACGCCCATATGGGCACCATATGGTGCCATAATCTCACGATCCAACGCCTAATATCCATTTCATCAATTCCACAATGAATATTAGGCGTTAGATCGTGAAGATTATGGTACCATATGGTGCCCATATGGGCGCCATAGAATTTCTGAACGAAAATAACTCTAAAATACACGTGAAAATGACGTATATCAATAACTATTTTGGAATGACTTTTCCCGCTCAAAGTTTTTAATATATTTTTGGAATATAAGCATTGAATTATATGAATTGATGGATTTCATTTAATTACTATATGGTAATATGACAATGACAACTTTTTAAGAATGGATTTCCATTAACAAAATATATGGTGATATGTTAATTATAAGTGGGAATTCAACTTTTAAGGAAAAACTAATGGACTTTATATTGACATCTACATATATAAAAAGGCTTGGATTTATTAGAAATAGTATGATTTTTTGCCAAAAGAAATTCTTACTTACTTAATGAAAATTTTAGGAAATATTTTTCAAACCATAATGAAACACCCGAGCCACAATTATAGTTGAAGTTCCCAAAATTAAGAAATGCAATTATTAATAAAATTTATTTTTCTTAAATTAGTTTTTCTGGTAAGTCATTCATTTTTTATTGGTAAATAATCTTAAAATGAATGTTAATGATATACTAATTAAATATAATTGACGTTGATTGGTAACTAGTGTGTAGCCCGTGCGATGTACGGGAATAATATTAAATTAATAATATTATAAATAGACCTCGAGTTTGAGTCACTCAATAGCGGAAGTGTAAACTACTATTGATCCTATTTAAAAAAAGGAAGAAAAATAATAATTATAAATTAAAGAGGAGGATAAAAAATACTTAATAATTATAAATTAAAGATTCGGGGTAAAACAATGTAAAATTATTTTGTATAAAGAGAATATAAAAAAATTTGATTACACACCATTTCAAAATTATTATTATACTTTTTTGTATGGTTAGCTTATAATATTTGTAAAAATATTAGTAATTAGACCGATGAAAATTGGTTTCTTAAAGTAGATAATGAATTTCTAGTAGTAATTATGAATTGGTTTCTATTTTATTTTATTTTTTCAAATCTCTATAGATAAGGGATGAGACGTGAGACTTATGCAGTGAGATTTTGTAACAAAAGAGATAAGCTCGTGTAGATTTATACTAAAAATAGAAAAATGAAAAATAAATATTTATTGTGAAACAGCGGTTTTGATAAACTAAAAAACAGGAAAAAAAGAAATATATCTTTACACAATTAATGAGCCGATATTTTTGCCTATTCAGATTTGTCCAACAATTACTATATGTAGAATATATTTAATGATTTTGGAGGGAAAATGTTTCTAAATTTGTAAAAATGTTATTTTTTTTATATAATGATAGATGTAATACTGCATTAATTGTTGATATATTCCAAATTTGACATCAATAATTAGAGCACCCACAATGCTTTGGGTCTCTTTTTGTATATGTGGCATATAATTGAACTTGGATCTTAAATAACATGGACAAACTCAAGTATAAAAACTCAAAAACTTTCCAATGCAAAAATAAAATACTAGGTCTAGACTAAATATCAACCAATCAAAACACGCCTGAAAAAAAATATCTTTCGGCTACCTTCTTCTTCTCGTGCTGCCTTTTCTTTTTGCTTCTTCAATCAACTGAGTTCGTTAATCGCTACACAATAATAGGCAAATTGGAGAAGGATATGTGCAAGCCAATAAGTAAATTCATACATCTTATCATCTTCATCTTCTTCTTCTTCTTTTTTGTATTAGACAAGTTGATTAATAGGTTGTTGTTTTCTTGTTTCTGTATTTTTTGTGGGAAGTTTGCTGCTTTTTGGTAGTAAATATTTTTCCTGGTCTTTGCGTGTATTGGTTTTGAATTATTAAATGATTATTTTGTTTTGTTTATTGGTTCTTGGTTCTATATCCGAAGTAAGAGACTCTAATTGTTGTATTTGAATTATTGTATGATTCTTTTATTTGGTTATTGGTTATTGGTTCTGTATTTGAATTAAGAACCTGGGAATATGCACGAGAATTGGATTTGAGAAATTGAGGTTTGGTTGTCAATTGTTCTATGCCAAGAAGAAGCGCGAATATGGAGTTTTTGCGAGAAGAAAAAGATCTGAGTTACCAGCCAATATTTCACACGGTTTTCTCCATTAAAGAAAATAAAAATTGTAAATAATTGATGACTGGGCGGTTTTGTGCTTGGGTCTAAAATAGACCCAAGAGTAGACTTGATCTCATTTTTTTATTGCCACATAAACTAGACCATGTCCAATTTTAATTGTATTGGAAAGCATTTTTTAGTTGACTAAGTCTATTTCCTATGTGACATGTGATATTTTGTTTAGAGACCCAAAACATTGTGGGTGCTCTTACATAAATCGATACATTTAATAATTGGTTAAAAAATTATCAAACTATATATTCTTCTTTAATAAACTTAATATAAACTATTTATTATTTAATATATCTCTATATATGTATAAAAATTTTGGCATTTATTAAATATATCCAGTAAAATTCTCATAAGAAAAGTAGATACTAAATTTTATAAAAATATTATTATGTTGATTTTGATTTCTTTTGATAATAAAACTACAGGAAATTAAATTTATATTGCATAGTATGACAAATAAATTATAAATCGTGGTATGCAAATTAGAAAAATTTCATGATTGTAGAAGGGATTTATTTTTTGGCAGGTGCACAATGTGATCAATTTTTTTTCCTTTTTTTTTTCTTTTTACAAATTAGTTATTAGATACTATAAATATCAAAAATTGAAAAGAATCACACATGTATGTATATGGTAAAATATTTTTATATACAACATTTTATTTTAAATTTACTACTTTAATAAATACATTAACGTACATTATATGTTTATCATTATATTAAAAAGACTACTTCTATAACTTCTATTATTAATAATAATGATATTATATATCAATGAATTTTATAATAACATAATAGTTGTACATATAATGAATAAAAATAAGTAAAACTGTTATTTTTGTAATATCAAGAAATAAATTTATATTAATATAAACGGTTAGCGAATTAATATATTGATTAACTTATAGTGTAATCCTAACGAGCTTAAATTTAATAGTCCAAAAAATATAAAATAATACTAATTAAAATATGTAAAAAATAGATAATCCAACACAATTATTTTTTAGAGTAATTAAACAACCCTATTAGAGTTGGCCCATTTAATATTTTTGTACTCGTCTAGTCCATTTATAAACCCTTGATTCTAACTCCTCCATTATATACTACGCACGATAGCCATCCCCATTCGCTTCAATTCATCCATGGCGGGTGGCAAAACTTCAAAAAAGCGTAAGGCTGCTAATTCTTCATCTGGTCGCTCCTCCAAGCGTGGAACCCGGAGCACTTCCCCCAATGATTCCAAGCCTTTTGATATTCTTTTGCCACGATTGGCTGCAAAAGGACCTGCAATCGGGATCGACTTGGGAACCACGTATTCATGCGTGGGCGTGTGGCAGGACGACCACGTTGAGATCATAGCCAACGATCAAGGAAATCGCACAACGCCCTCTTACATCGCTTTCACCGACGCCGAGCGTCTCATAGGCGAAGCCGCCAAGAATCAGGCTGGCGTCAACTCCGTCAACACCGTCTTTGGTAAACAAACTGCTTTCTTATTTTCTTATATATGTATGAATTCGATCGAATAATAACTTGGGTTAGCGTTAAATAGTTTATTCAAGTGTAATTATGTTTAATTTTTAATGTTGTGTTGAATTATGAGGCAGATGCGAAGCGGCTGATCGGAAGACGATACAGCGACAGCTCGGTCCAGACAGACATGAAGCTGTGGCCGTTCAAGGTTGTCCCTGGCCCCACCAACAAGCCCATGATTGTGGTCTCCCACAAGGGCCAGGAGAAGCAGTTACCCCCTGAGGAGATATCTTCCATGGTCCTCACCAAGATGGCCGACATCGCCAACTCCTTCCTGGGCCCCACCCCTTCCCGCGACGTCGTCATCACCGTCCCGGCCTTCTTCAGCGACTCCCAGCGTCAGGCCACCAAAGACGCCGGCGCGATCGCCGGCCTCAACGTCATCCGCATCATCAACGAGCCCACAGCCGCCGCCATTGCCTACGGCCTCAACCAAAGGGCAAATACTGCCTGGGGAGGTTCGAAAAACATGCTCGTCTTCGACCTCGGCGGCGGCACCTTCGACGTCTCCCTCCTCACCATCAACGACGGCTCCTTCGTGGTGAAGGCCACCGCAGGCGACACCCATCTCGGAGGGGAGGATTTCGACAACCGAGTCGTCGCCCACTTCGCGGCCGAGTTCAAGCGCAAGCACAAGAAGGATATTTCGGGAAACCCCCGAGCCCTGCGGAGGCTGAGGACCGCCGGCGAGCGGGCGAAGAGGATTCTCTCCACCAACACTCACGCCACTGTGGACGTCGAGTTCCTGCACGAGGGCATCGATTTCCACTCCACCATCACCCGCGCGAAATTCGAGGATCTCAACATGGACCTTTTCCAAAAGTGCATCGAGCCAGTCGAGAGCTGTCTCAGGGGTGCCGAGATGGACAAGGCCGCCGTCCACGACGTAGTCCTGGTCGGAGGCTCGACTAGGATCCCCAGGGTTCAGAGTCTGCTGCAGAGTTTTTTCAACGGGAAGGAGCTCTGCAGGAGCATCAACCCAGACGAGGCTGTTGCGTACGGCGCCGCCGTGCAGGCGGCCGTCCTCACCGGCTTGAGGGACAACAAGGTGCGGGACCTTGTCCTTTGCGACGTGACCCCACTCTCCCTCGGTATCGAGATAGAAGGGGAAGTGATGGATGTTGTGGTCCCTCGCAACACGCCCATCCCTACTCGTAAGGAGAAATGGTTCACAACGATTAAAGACAACCAAACTTCTGTGGACTTCCCAGTCTACGAGGGGGAGCGGGCGAGGTCGACGGAGAACAACCTGCTCGGGCAGTTCACGCTGATGGGAGTCCCACCGGCCCTTCGAAGGGTGGCAAGGATTGACGTGTGCTTTGAAATCGATGTCGACGGGATACTGAGCGTGTCGGCTAAGGAGAGGTTCAGAGGAAGCACGAACAGGATCACTATAACCAACGAAGAAGGTAGGGCGTCGAGAGAGGAGATTGAGAGGATAGTGAGGGATGCAGAGAGGTACAGGCGGGAGGACGAGGAGTACAGGAGGAGGGCCGAAGCTAGAAACAACCTTGAGAATTATGCTTATAGCGTGAGGAGCGCGGCCAGGGCTGCTGTCTGGCTGGCGATGGCCGACAGGAGAAAGGTGGAGGAGGAGGCAACGTGGGTTATTATGTGGGTGGAGGGGAATTGGATGCGGTCTGGGGTTGACGAGTTGAAGCATAAGATGTGGGAGCTTGAGCGCATTTGCAGCCCTATCATCAAAGTTGGCATGGAGTCTCGTGGGTTTTAGCCTGCCTCAGCCTCTCACTCATCCTTTTGTTTTTGGTTAACATTTCTTTATGTCATCTCTTGAGCTTTTGGTATTCTGGATTGAAGATATGTGTTTAGGTTTAGGCATGTCATGAAAACCATCATCTCTAGGTCCGATTTCCATTTATATGTTGGAAGTATTATGCCAACAGTTAATGGCTTCATTTTGTCATTGCAGCTTTTCTTGGCAAAAATAAGAACTGGTGCTGTAGGCATACAAATAAATAGCTAATAATAAAATTTATTGGACGTATTACATGAATAAACTCGTATATATTAACATTAGGGAGAGGAAAGAAGGAAATTGCATTAAATTTTAAGAGTTCTGCAAATGTAGTCAGTAAGTCCGGTTTTAAAAATTTTACATAGATTATTCAATCGCAATATTTTGGCCATCATATGTTCTCTTATGCCAAAAAAAATTACTCAATATATGAAACTTTTAAGTTTAAATTCTTATATTCTTTAAGTAACATATAAATATGATCCCAACAAAATATTTATTTTGATGTTTTCTAGATTATTTCATAAAGTAGATGAAATTTTGTGTTAAATGAGTTTGCGCACCATATACTTCGTAATGATGTGTAAAAACGTACAAATAAAATTTGAAATAAAAATTAGTCAGCACGGTTGATGGGCAGAAATAGTCAGCACCAAGGGGGCGTCAATATACATAGAGAACGAATGGCGTCTACAAAAAAAATCGAGATCTAAAATAAAAAAAAAAGACCTTAAAATTCAAAAGATTATCCCAAACAAACAAACAAAAAAAAAAAAATCTTACATGTTTCAATCCCATACTCAAACATTCATCCTGCCCTTACCAACTTCTACGACTTCATAAAACCAGAAATGGCCGGCCTCCCATGAAAAATCCATTGGGAAGGTCAACACCAACTAGAAAAAGTCAAACCCATTTGAAGAAAGTTACAATTATGAGCTATCAATATATTTGCCAGGTTTCAAGAATAAGAAAAAGAAAATTAACAAATGGTTTGTTAGTTCTACAAGTACTAGTTAAAAACTTCATTTGAGAGTGAAGTTTGACAAGAAAATCACGGAATGAATTACGAGATGCAATAAAAAATAAAATGAAATAAACTTTAAAGAAAGAACCTTGTTAAATTTTTGTGGGATAAGAAAGTTACAGCTTATAAGCAGTTGAAATATTTTTATGGTTGATTGTGCAAAGGACTAGTGTTTGAAGTTCTTCGGTCATGCATGAACAGTAGAACGCGCGACTTCATTTGACCGTGACGTTTGATAAGATGTCATAGAAGAAAATACGAGAAGTAAGAAACAGAGTACCTCAGGAAAGCAAAAAGTTACATGCATCTTAAAAGCTAAAACAAAAACTAAGTAGAGATAAAGGACATTCTTTATCCTGCAGTGTATTTTCTTTAACAACAAATGCAAGCCATCATGAACTGCTAAAAAATAGACTGAGCCAATTACTGGGACATTCAAAATATAGAAANATTTTCTATCTCCAAATTCGGCAGACCCAAACTCTGTCAAATAGAATGAGGAGAGCAATAAGTCTACGTACTACTCTATGAAGTTTGAGTCAGTCAACAAACAACATCATAGAGCCATAATCACATTTTTTAAAAGTGGATTCCAAATAATAGGAAGTGAAAGTATAGACCAGTAAGTGATGATTTTTCAGATATTGGAATATCCGAGAACCGATCGATTGTGACGATCTATCAACCAGGCTATAACAAACAAACTAGCCTGAAGCTAAATCTCAGCCTAACACACTAAAAATCCATAACCCCATTTACTAAAAAGCTCCACCACCAATACAAAGCTGCATATGACTTTATCGAGCATCAACTGCAAAGAGGTGGGAAAGAGGTAGTAAAAGGAAGGTAGTAAAGAAATTAAGAGCGTTACCTTCACCCTTGATAATCACATTGCAGACCAGTGGACCCATTGGGTCCACGAGCGTACTGATTTTGTGCGGGGCGACCTCCCCATTACTTATCTTGGAGTCCCCCTGTACGGGTCACCTCTCGCATGAGCTCTTTACTGGCGTGAGGAAGAGGATGATTGACCGGATTTCCGGTTAGTCTCACAGATATCTCTTCTTTGGAGGTCGACTTGCTCTGATCAAGAGCACCCTCAACACCCTTCCGCTCCATCTCCTTACAGTCCTTGACCCCCACCAGTCTACTCTTCATGAGTTAGATCAGATACTGGCTCGTTATTTTTGGGGGCATGGGGAGGGCTCCCAGAGAGAGCGACAGGTCCACTAGGTGAGGTGGGACTCGGTTTGCCGTCCCTTCTCTGAAGGGGGTCTTGGGATCCGTCGCTTTTCAGATGTCGTCACTGCATTTTCTTATAAGATGTGGTGGCGCTTTAAGGAGGGTAAGTCACTTTGGGTCCAATATCTTCGTCGGAAGTACTGTCCTGGAGGCGCTGCCCACCCCTGTAGGGTGACGGCCACCTCCCGCGATAGCAGACAGTGGAGGTGGCTCACCATGGTTGGTAGATGTGCTTAGAAGCACATATTTTGGACTCTGTATAAGGGGGACATTAGTTTTTGGCATAAGTGGTGGTTTGGTGAGGGTCCACTTTTGAGCACTAGACAGGTTACCCACCTTCCCTTTCTATAGGTGATGGACCTGTGGACGGAGGAGAGATGGGATAGGGATAGGTTAGAGAGGATTCTGGGTACTGGAGCGGGCCTTAGTGATCAGGTGATAGATGAGATCCAGCAGATTCCCATCTTGGAAGACGGTTTGGACGGTATGAGGTGGAGACTTACATCTTCGGGTGCATTTTCTACGACCTCGGCTTGGGGGGAAGTAAGGCAGGGTGACCGGCTTAACCTTCTCTTCGGGACCATCTGCACCGACCTACTTACCCCTACCATCTCTTTTTTCCTTTGGCACCTCCTTTTTGCGCCGCCTACCGATTGACACTGTGATGCAGACGAGGGAGTTCTCCTTCCCCTCGCGTTGCTACTGTTGTGCTGAGACCGGAGATTTTAGACGGAGACCTTTACCCATCTGTTTTTAGAGAGCGAGACTGTGAGGAGAGTGTGGGAGCATTATACCAGTTATACACATATCCCCCTACCCTCCACAGATACTTTCTTTGAGCTCCTGAGTTTTTTCAGACACCGCACACACACTAGACACATGAGTTTCTTTATTCCTTGTCTGATCCTTTGGTCCACCTGGACAGCAAGGAATAATGCGAAGCATAGGGATAACCCTTTTTTGTGTTCTCATATTATTTTGCAGGTTGAACGACATCTCTCCCTCCTCACCGCTTTGGGCAGACTCACCCAGAGAGACTGGACAGGTTGCACGCCACCTCACCACCTTGCACCACCTCCGCCGGTGTCTGTCCAGCACCCACGTCCCAGAGCTATTGTTTGGCTAAAACCCGAGTCGCCTTGGGTTAAACTAAACACTGATGGAGCCTTTGATCGACTTACTGGAGTTGCAGGAGGTGGGGGCCTGATTAAGGATCATAGCGGTGCCCTTATTGCCGCGTTTCATGCCCCTCTTCGGGTCTCTTCGAGCTATGACGCGGAGGTTCTGGCGCTTCAGATCGGTCTTCAGATTGCCGCTTCGATCTCCTCTCACATTTGGATAGAGTTAGACGCCGCCGCTGTCATCACTCTTTTGTCATCTGGCCATCAGGGCACGTGGCAGATCCAGCACCCTCTCATGCGTATCAGAGCTACTCTTCAGTCGATTCGCTCTTGGATCTCGCACATCTTCCGCGAGGGTAACCGGCCAGCTGACTTCCTCGCTGGCATCGAGGCCTCCTCCCCCCTGAGACGCATTCTTTACCCTGACGATATTCCTCTCCGCCTCCGCACCCTCATACGGATGGACCAGATGGGATACCCTTCATTCAAATTTGTATAGCCGGTCCTATTTTTTGGCGCATTTGTCACACTGTGATGTAGACTTTTTCACCGGCACTCTCCCCGGACCAGGATCTGTTATTTTTGTATTTCTCGCTGCAGTTGTCAGTTGTTCCTTGTATTTTTTCTTGATTTTGTTTTTCGGTTTCGTTTGACTATATCAGACATTGGACTTGTAGCTTTGTGACTTTTCAGTCCATTTGGGATTTTTATATAACAACTTTGCATACATAATTGCTATAATAATAGTTTAAACATTATTTTATTTATTTTATTTAATTAATTGGTCGTAATTAACCAAGATTGTAAAAAAAATTGCATTATTTCGCTCAATACAAATAATAACATGCGAGTTAAATAATTTATATTCATATCATTAATTTTTACTAATATTAAAATATATAAAATATAATATGTTCATTATTTAACTTATGATTTTAATTATTACATATACACATATAAAAAAAATTTTATTTTCATTTTTGTATGTGTATATGGTTAAATTTGAGTCTTGATTAATTTTGTTTTTTAATTGCATATATATCCAAATCACACCCTTATCTTGGCTTCAAATATATCTTCCACGTCATGGCTGATTTAGTGGGCTTAATTCATGACCACAAATTTTGGGTACCAACAATCAACAACACTATTGGAAAGAGAATACATATACAAATATTTGAATTATTTCACAAATCAAATATATAATTATATTTTTACAACTAAATGAATACAACAGAATATCACCAATAAAAATTAAACAAATGCAAATTTAACCTATGTGAACAAAACAAAGGATAAATGTAATACGACTGTATAGAAGTAGAACCATCTCATAGATGTAGTTGGGCTGCTGCTAGTGGACCGGCCGTTGTTAATAGACCGACCACTACCGTTCGGCAAAGGGCGCACAAAATTAGTTCCACGGCCACCGCCGGTGGTGCGGCCGCCTCTTGATCCGCCACGGCTTCCACCGCCGGAACGTGCAACTACAGACGTAAGGAGGAGACAAATGATGATGAGCAGGCAAAGGAACTTGAAGACGGCACGCATATTCTTTAGTTTCTTCTTTCTATTTTTTTGGGATATTGTTATTTAGTTTCAAAACAGAGTTTTTGTTTTGTTTTTTTAATTTGGTGGATGCGAGAATAAATAGTGGGTTTTTTGAAATGTCGGTCAAACGAGAGCCTTCTTGACCTTCCACTTGTGTAAGATTATTAGAAAAAAAAAAATAGGAATCAAATTATATAAATGTATTTCGTCTAGCAAAATGGACTACGCGGGCGCCAAGAAAACGTGCTGAGGGAGCGTGTGGTTCGTGGACGATTTTGGACTTGTCAAAGTCACTAATCTGCAATCATGGGCGGGACATTATCTAAAAACTTCATTGTCATGGTGGTAAGTAGAGACTTGTTTCTTTGGCTACTTCCACGCCACTCCTTAAATCTCATTTCAACTTTTTTTTTTTCTTTTAGATCCCACTTCCCCGCAAATACTTAGGTGTGCCCTAGCACACCTAGCAAGGTGTGTCACAAATAAACATGTTATGTTACAAAATGAACATGTGTAAACATGTTACAAAATAAACATGTGTAAATCATGTTTGCACATGTTCATTTTGTAACATAACATGTTCATTTTAAATTGTCCTGGCACACCTTGCTAGGTGTGCCAGGACACACGGTAGTAGCCTGCCACTTCCCTTCTTTTGAGACTCGAACCTAAGACCTACCGGTCATTGGTTGCGTTTTGTTGTCTCTCATTCCAACTTCTTATTTAGTAAATGAGGATAATATTCTTTTAATACACTTCCTACCACTTGCATTAAATATTATTTCCTTTATTATTTTGAAAATAAACTTTTCTTATTTTAGTTTAGAAATCGTAGTACCACTTTTGTAATGATGAATATCGTACCTCTTTTATTAGTTAAGCAGTGCCCAAGGTTTATAAAATCAGATCAGACCGGCCTGTCTGACGGTTGAACCGAAAACCGGTTAGTTGATGTCTAGTTTGTTGGAATGAATCGGTTGCCAGCGAAGTGTTCAACGATCGATTGAACAGGTCAAAATCGGCCGATCGAGCCGATCTAATTTTTTTAAATAAATTTTAATATATTTATAAATATTTTTCATACAAGTAAAGAATACATATTTAAATATAATGGATATATAAATTATTATTAGATGATAAGTATTTGAATGTTTTAATTGGTCAAATATTTCATTAAGAAAGTTTTTACATTTAATTTTTATTATATAAAATATTATATATGTTTAAAAATATTAATAAATTAAATATAGACAAATCAGTTCAATCACTAGTCAAACCAGAAAATCATTGAACTAATAGTTTGACCGATGTTATGGTTCTTAAAACATTGCTAGTGACCGGTTCAATCTAAAGAGTACTTGAAATAGATTGATTAATATCAGACCCAACATGCCTCCGTAAAATTAAATAACTCTATACTCACGTACCTTTCTTAGACCAAAGTAGCTCCGGGTGAGATGGGTTGCAACGCCACCCTCCTAGTTCATTTTACAGACGGCTCCTCACCGTCCAACTTCGACTGATATGGGAAGATGAACTACAAGTTATCCAACTCTTTCAAATACCACTCAACACATCTTTGTTTTATTTCCTACTCCAGGCGTAAAAAGCATCGATTATAGAGATAAATAAAAATCATGACAATATGTTGTGAAGCAAAAGCCTCATATATATTTTATTAATAGCTCAAAAGGAAAAATATTACATAAGTAATCTTCTTAAAGGAGGAAAAAAATCTTTTAGCTCCATAATGGAGGCAAACACTCATGCTATTATTGTTAACTCGGATTGTGACTTTTTCAATTTCATTACAAGAAATTGTTGTAAATTTTAACCTTATGCGAAACAAACTTCGGTTTATCCCAGGAGCATTCATATCGAATAATTGAGAATCAAACCGAATAGCGGAAGCGTACCTAAATTCATAATTTTGAGAAATTCTCGTGTTCTTCAGTTTGCTAGAGTGTTGTGTTCTTCCAAACAATCTTGTTGTATAGCAGATTTTTATCCATAGTGTTTGTATTGGTATATATCTTTTGTATATTTTTTCTTCTGAAGTGAGAAGGTGAGTGCTTTTAAAGGGAGAAAGCACCCCTTCATAAATCTGCTCGTATCTTTTCGTCGTTTGGGGCCATAACCAAATAAATAAGAAATATTGATTTTCAGTTCAGTCCCTCAACAAACAGAAAATCACATAATGATATCTACACTTTTAAATCCATAACAATTTGATACTCTCTTTATTCAAAATTACAAATTAATAGATCACTTTAATTGAATAATATTATGACAACTATACACATTTAATTTACATATGTTGTCCAATAAAATATTTCTAACAGAAATGGGTATTCGGTTTATATGGCAAAGGGGCATGTTGTAATAAATTGATTTTGTAATTAAATCGGAATGTTCAATTATCCTTTATGTTGTTTTCTTGTTTTAAGTAACTCGAAAAAATTATTTGAAGAGAAAGAGAAGTTTCAATCGTCTTAAAGCTTCATATAAATTAGTTATATTCTTAACATAATTGAACTAATGGATTAAACTGTTTTGTACGAAGGAAAACTCCAGAAATTCTATGGCGCCCATATGGGCACCATATGGTACCATAATCTTCACGATCTAACGCCTAATATTCATTGTGGAATTGATAGAATGGATATTAGGCGTTAGATCGTGAGATTATGGCACCATATGGTGCCCATATGGGCGCCATAGAATTTCTGAGGAAAACTCACATGAAAATATGCGAGGATGATTCCAAAATTATAGGGAAGAAAGATGGGCTGATGGAGTATTAATGAATCTATTACTATATAATACGGAGAAGAAAAAATGTTTGAAATAATATTTCAAATTCCCGCTTAAAAAATTATTTTTCCCCCTTAAATTTAATTTGAATTTTTTTCATCCCCTTTTTTTGCCATGGATTTCCCTTATCTACAACATGATTAGATTTCAAATCTTTTCAGTTCACATTACAATTCGATTTTAATTCGGGATTCAAAATTTGATTAGATTTTTTTTAAATATGTAAAAAAAAGAGAATCCCCTCTCTCTCTCTCTCTCTCTCTCTCTCTCTATATATATATATATA